AGGCGCCGACCGCCGTGAGTCAGCCTCACTCTGCCGGCGCCTGGCGCTGTGCAGTCCCTGCGCCGGCCGGGCCCCTTTGTTCTGAGGCTCAAAGCGGGGCCCTCCGTGGGGGGCGCCTCACCTCCACGTAGGGGTAGAAGCTGGCCTGTCCCTGCCGCCTCCAGTAGCCCTCGGTGTCGAAGGACAGCTTGTAGGTGCCCACCTTCATCTGGCCTGGGGGCAGCAGCCCTGGGCAGCGGCCGTCCGGGTCCGTGTAGCTGGGCAGGAGGACAGGGTGCTGGGGTGCGGCTCCGCGGCTGGGGTCCAGCTGGCCCCCTGGCGGGCAGCCCTGTGCCTGCCCAGCTGCTGCCCAGCACCCTGCAGACCCAGCGCACGGCGCGGCGGCTCACGCTGCCGGAGGCGCTCAGGCGGGCCTGTCCCAGGGGCTCCGCAGTGGGGGGCCCGTAGCTGTGCCCACGGGCACCAAATCTGCTACCCGAGTCTGTCAGGGGTCTAGAGGCAGCGGGCAGGACAGGCTGGCGCACGGGCGGGGCAGCCCCTGACCCCACACTCCATGGGCCTTGGCAGAGGGAGCTGCCCCTCTGAGGGGAAGGTCGGGGGACATGTGAGGCCAGGAGGGGACGCCACCCCGCCCTGAACAAACGGGCTCCAGGGGCCGCCACGCTGCCGGGCAGGGGTCAGCCGGAAACCCCCGGTTGTCCAGGGCCCTCCGCTCTGTGCTGCAGGCCAGGACTCGGGGACTGGCCTCAACCCCTCCCAGGACCCCCTACCTTTTTGTCAGCTCAGTCCACTGTTGGCCATGGTCCTCGAGCCTGGACAGGTGGAGGCAGAGGCCCTGGGCCGGGAGCCCTGAGGCCGTGTCCAGCACGTGTGTGGTCAGTGGGCTGCCTGCCGGCTCCATGCCTCTGCCCTGGGCCACAGGAGGGGAGGGGTGAGCCCAGGGCCCAGCCTGTGTCCACATGGCCTCAGAGCAAACAGTCCCTGGACAGAGGTCAGGCTGCCCAGGGCCTGGGGTGCCCTGAGTTGCTGAGTCAGGGGCCGGAGCCCAGGGCAGGCACCCGTCAGAGCCGCCCCCCCCCTTCCTGTCAGAGCCTCCTCTGCCTGGGCCGCCTGGGCCCTCGGGGGAGCTGGCTCTGTGGGGGCTGGCGGGGGCTGGAGGTCTTTGGGGGGGCTCCGTCCCTCCTCCCCTGCTGCACTCCTCCCACAGGGGTGGGAGTCCAGGAGCCCCAGGGTCGCTGCCCCTACCTCGGGGGAGCCCAGGTGTCGCTGCAGTGCCCGCAGGCGCGGGGCCGGCCCCGAGCACATGCCCGCAGGCTCGGACTGCGCGGGGACAGAGGTCACCCCGCG